GAGGAGATCGAGGGGACGGCTTTTAATCCCCAGCTCCTGCAGAGTCAGCTCATCTACAGTCGCCAAGGGAGCTGGAGGAAAGCCATCAGTGGTACTCCTGCACAGACCCAGGCCAGGGGAGGACACCGACTTCTGCACGGCCACCCAACGTGAGACCAGACTCGGTCAAGCATCCTGCCCCGCTCCCCAGATCCTGCCCAGATCCAGAGCTCAGCCTCGGCAGAGAGGGCTTCCCCTGGGTTAATTCAGGTTGGAAGTACTGAATGAAAGCGGGGACCAAGCTCTGCTTCTTGTCCACACCATCACCAAAAACAACGGGTTCTCTAAGTCAGCACCCCAGGCAGAGGCTACAAGGGTGGCAGCTGCCATCTCCTTTTCACGGGAAAGGCGCAGAAAAAGGAAATGACTCTCTACACCGCCCTCCACCCTTCTACTTACCAAGCAGTCTCTCTGTAAGGTTTTGCACAGAGCATTATACATGTCAGAGTCTAAGAAGAGGCCATCAGGGATGTCCTGCATAAAATCCAAGTCCTTGTATGTCGGGAAGACCTTCTCCCGCTCCTTCTGGCACGCTCGGCGTTTGTAGGTGGAGCCCTTCAGGTCGTATTTCAGGTGCATTTTGACAGAGCGCGGCACGAGGTTGTTCATCACGACGATGCGAATGTTTTTGCCTCCGGCCTGGACACAGTACAAGCCGTAGAACTTTGGCAGTAGCGTCCTTGGGTTCTGGTTCAAATTCTGAAATGCCAAAGAAAAAGAAATACCTTCAAAACCATTCTGGTTATTCACATGCCAGTTAGAGGAGTTATTTGCTCCTTCCTGGGGTTCTATATCGAAATGGTGCTGGTAACGATTTGAAGCCATTACCAAAGCTAAGAGACAAGGGCAGATGAACACAGGGAACAGACAGGTGATGCCTACAGTTGTAAAAACCTCTCTGCAAAGTTGAACAGGTCAGAGAAAGACTGTAGGAAGGAAGGAGCTCGCTGCTTGCTCACACAGAAGCCAAGCTGGGGAGGCTTCAGAGCAAAGGAAGATCTTGTGCTTCACCTTTTAAAATCTAGCACTTCGATCAAGCTAAACACATCAGCGACATCTGTCACACATCGGGGGGACTCTTCCTTAGCGTGCAAAGAAATCCTCACTCCAGCAACTCACCATATAGTAGCCAGGCAGCAGCTTCTGTAAGAACTCTTTTTTTAACCGTTTTGATGATGAACTCATCGTCGCTGGATACGTAGAAGAGGGATCCGCTGGCCCCGGAGTTGGAAAGTTCAATGAGTGGCTCATTGCAGAGCGAGTACTGAGGACAAGGTGAGAAACGCAGAGGTGAGAGAGACATCAACAGCACGAAGGCTCTTCCTTTTAAACATTAACAGACGCAAACCCCAGGGTCACAGCAGCAACCACTGCTGCGCTTAGAGCTCGCCACGGGGCCTCGCAGCGCCCCACGGCTCTGAGAGCGGGGAGAGGACGAGCACCCACCGTGCAGAGCACACGACGACCTGGTCCAACCACCAACTCACCAGATAGTCATCCGGTCGGATCCCAAAGAGGTCCCGGAAATGGCGAAAGGCCACTGGAGCATAGGTTTTGAACCGAAAGTCATTGTAGTGATGAGCTGGAGTCAGGTTACTCCCTTCGCTGATCGAGGAGAGAAGCACACACGAGTATTTGTATTTGAAACATTAAGAAACTGCCCTAAAAGCAAACCCTAAAAGCAAACACTTACTGGCTGCCTGCTTCTAACACACTCAAGGGCTAGAAAGCACACACCCAAAAGGGACCCGTGTAGGCAAACACAACAGCAAGCCTGCGCTCGCTCACACGACCGATGGTGGACACACGCAGGGAAGAGCCAGGGTTCTCCGGGAAGGGCACAGGCAGGAGCCGGAGCCGGTCTGTGAGCAGCTCTGCCCGGGAGACTTGTGCTCACTCCTGCGGTCAGCCATCCTGCTCTGGTGCAGCTTCCCCATATGCAAGCGGGGTTAGGAACTAATCCTGTTGCTCGCTATCAAAGCATCAGAGAGAAGAAAGCAAGCACCGACCTTGGGAAGAAAATGCTTTCTACTACGTAGAAATCTTGCATGAGAACATCTCTGTCGGGTTTGGTGCTCAAGCTTCCGACAGTGTGTGTAATGCCCAGCTGGATGGCACCTTTCAAGGCCGATGATGTCGTCTGGAGGGGCAGAGAAAAATGGGTTAGATAACGGGGAGCAGCAGACTGGAAATAGGAACGACAGGAGTTAAAGAAAAGAGACCCCCAGTTTAAAACAGCACTGTTAGCCAGGGTATTCTACACCTACTGGTTCCAGCTTCTATCATTCCTTTCCCATTGACTAACATCCCTTTGGAGCTGGGAGCACCTGGGAACACCCCCACACCTCTGACAGCATCCTCCTCGGTGTTTGCACGCTGGGTGGTCGAGTAGTAAAGGACCTGGACTGGAATCAACACCCAGCTGGTCCTTAAAAGGACCAAATTTCATTTCATCCTCCGCAGCACCCACCCCCACACCCTGCGGCAGAGGGGAAAGACATCCAGGGACAGATCAGCTTGTGCCTCTAGGAGTGAACATGCTTCTCGACACCTTGGTCTGCCAGGTCTTGGAACGATACGCTTTGAAGCTTGCCCTTCCCCAGCGCAGGCACAGATGTGGGTCTTCTAGAGGACGAGGACACCACGCACACGTCCGTGCAGCACTATTGCGTTCCTCCGGCTGCCTCTCTCGCTGGGTCGTGGCTCTTTAACCCTCAGGAGTTTGCTGTTGTTTTTAAATAAGGAGCAAAGACATGAATCCTGCCTCTGCATCCTCTGCACAAACTCTCCCAGAACAACGCAGGACTGTCTTCTTGTCACAGCGACTCCTGTCAAGAGCCCTCTTCTGTCTCCAAAGCGCATGATCTCATCTCAGACCACCGAGACGTGCTCCAGCCTAGCTCGTGCTACAGGCTGTCCTTCCCAGAACAGCCCAGAGCAGATCTGCTCAACGCCCCGATGTTCTACAGCCCGGCAGTTCCCGGAGCACGGAGCCACGAGCTCTGCGGGAAATGTCGAGGCTGCAGAGCAGGTGCAGGCTGGATTTGTGCTCTGCAGCTCACGGACATTTCACTTGGCTTATACATAAAGCAACTGGCCCCAGAACACGATCCAGGGCTCCTGATCCAACGAGCTTGTGTTTGTTTCCGTAAGCTAAACAAAGCCTAGCCCCCTGCCACAAAATCACCACAGACCAAAGCATCTGGCAGCAGAGGACACCGCAGTGTCCAGGGGACAAACAGGTCACGGCTTTTCCCCAGACACACATCCTCCACGGAGCCCTGCAAAACAAACGGGAACATTTCTCCCACTGAACTCTTTTTCTGTGATCACAGCTGCAGGAGACCTGCTCACGGTTCCCTGGAGAGCAAAAAAACTGGCAGTGACTCCAGCTGGCTGGGAGACAACGTCCTTCCTACTTCAGGTACCTGTTGGTATTTGACATTGACGTTGGTGTGAGATGGAGAAGGGAAGGAGGAAGAACTCTACTCCGCTTTCCTTCCTTACCCTCTAAAGCTGCTTGAGAACAGATCTCGGCTCAGCTCACCTCGCCCTGCTTCAGCCCCACTGACGAAAACCAGAATTTCCCAACACGGTGGCGCAGCACTGCCGCCTTGTTTGTGAACACAGAGCCACAGGGCCAGGTTGCCAAGGAACAAGGTTTTTTGTTGTTTTTTTTTTCTCTTCTATTAGCCAGCACCATCAGCTGAGCAGCTGACTGCCTGTTTACAGCCACTTTTATAGGGCAAAGAATTTTCAAAAACAACTTACCACCCCTGGAAAAGGAGGGGATGGAAAACAGACAGACTGGACGTTTGTCTCGTTACCGGATAAATCTCATGCAGTGCCCCACCAGGTTTCTAGGACGCTGACAAGAAACATTTTGGGCATTTTCCACTGGCTTCTACTTTTTCCTCTCCTATTACTGCTGTCTAACCTCTACCTCTGAATTTGCTGGGAAGCTGAAAGCCAGATCCCAGTCCCAGAGACAGAAGCACTTTGCAGAAGGGCAGTGTAACGCTGGAATTCCTCCCTTCCACACCGCTACCCGACAGACAGATGGAGGTATGCCTGAATCAGAGATTTTAGCCCGGAAGCTTCGCTTACGCAAAGCCATGAATGCCCACATCAAGCCATCGCCCATTTAATCAACATCCTAGAAGTTGATCTCACTTCAGAGAAAGTCAGCCCATTCCGATGACGTCCAACACACCGGAAGCAGCATCCACAAAATACCCACATGGACGGGGTTTTTAAAAATACCCCAACAATCTCCGCTTTGTAAAGCACATTCCAGTAATGCCACAAGATCTATAGGAACTATTGTGCCTGAAGAGCACAGAAAGCACTCAGTCAGCCAGAAGAGCCTAGGAAGTGTTGCTAACGGGCAAAGTTTAAAAATAATCCCGTCTCCAGAAGGCTCCAGAAGAGAAGCTAAGCAGCACACTTTCAGTCCTTTGGCTCCTTTCCTTTGAGATCTTCAGCGACCCTCACAGGTGTTACCCGCTGTCCTACGCCGAACCTCGTGAGACACGCCACTGCTCTGGGCAGCGCTTGGCTCACGAAGAGAAGGACACAGGAGTTGTGCGAGGGGCAACTTACCTTTTTATAGGTAGTCTCGCCCATGGAGTCCACTCCTCTGTGCCCCTTCTTTATGGTCTGCGAGCCCGGCTGCCCGGAACCACCCGGCATCTAGGATTGGAGTGAAAGACGGTCAGAACCGAGGATGGAAAACCCAATGTCTCAGAGGCCGGCGGCTGCCCAGAACCACCCAGCAAAATTTTGCTATTTGCAAAGACGGAGACTGGGAAACGCTGAAGCCCCAGGTCCCCGCGCGCGTGCAAAGGGAGGACGCAGGACAGGCTGACCTCCGAGACAGCAACAGCACCGGAATGCCTTCAGAGAACCCACTGACTCCTGGGTGATTAAGGCCAGACATCTAATGAGAGAGAAACCCCTTCATGCAAGACCACCTGGAAGGGTTTGCCTTTTCCTCATCGCCCTCATCACCAAACAGCTCAGCTCTACGTGAGTCCGGACCAACCGCAGCTGGTCACGGTGCTTTCTGCCAGCAAGGCCGAGTCTTTGAGGAAACATTTCAGGAAGGTGGCAAATTCTGCGCTGATTCACGCCCCAAGAGCTCGCCTGACTCATCGTCTTCTAACACACACGATTGCTAAATGGTGTTTCTCAGTCAAAACGAGTCGAACGTCTTCCTTGCATCAGCAGATCTACGTGGTGTTTTGCTGGCACAAGAGCTGCTCAGTTCCAGGAGGAGCTGGGTTTTGAAGCAGAGACTCCCTCAGTACGATTTCCCACCTCTCTGCACTTACCACTGCCTGGGTTACCCCTAAATCGAGTGAAAAATCTGAAACTGGGCATTCTCTCAGCCAGGGAACAAACCAGCTTGTCAGTCAGAAGCTTACCTCAGGGGTGAGCGATTTCTTGAAAGTAGATGATCCTGTCAAAAGAAAAAAGCCACGTTCAGAAAGGGTTAATCTTTATTACGCATCACACAAAAGCCTGACACACCAGGTTTTAAAGGCATCTGAAAAAGCACTGACTCACGGCTGACTTCTTCCCACCTTCTCTTAACGCAGAGAGAATTTTTGTGAAGCCACAAGGAATCGCTCTTCTGCTGACCGCTCCCCACCCAAACCCGGCTCCGCGCCGGTGCTGCCGACCGGGGGCTGCTCTGCCCGGCAGGGCTGCCAAGCCCAGGGATTTCCTTACGACCATGGTGCTAAATATCTGCGAGGCCACGTACTAGCTTTTATCTTTTAGACCTAGATTCCATCTTGGGGGTTTTTTTTGGATGCATTAGGGGAAAAAATTTAAAAAAGCAATGAGGTGACGCTGCGCCTCTGCGATGTCTGTCTGTGCCACAAAGCCACCGGCCGGGCTGAGACCAACACCCGTGCGGCCAAGAGCTCCGGGGACAGGGACGCTGCACAAACCAGGGATGCGTGTTCTGTCTCCAGCCCAGAAAACCAAACTCTTCCATTTTGGTTTTTTTTTCCTACTTCAGCCACAGAAACCAACCTTTTCACATGGGAGCC